CGGGGCCCCCCCCCCCCCCCCCCCCGGCCTACTACAGTGCGAGAAATAGCGAATCTTCTTAAAAAGCACGGAACTACCCCGGTTATTTCGGTCGGCCAAAATTGGGTTACGAACTTTATAAATCGGCGTCCTCTCCTCTCCTCTCGATTCTCGAAACGGTATAATTACGAGCGTGCTAAATGTGAGGATCCGAAAATCATTACCGAGTGGTTTAATGTGGTTAAAAACACTGTCCTATAATGTAGGATCGACCCCGATAACGTTTATAACTTTGATAAGACCGGCTTCACGACAGGTTTACCGGTAACTATAAAGGTTACAATAAGGAGTGAATACTATCGTCGGCGAGCACTTTTATAACCTAGAAATCGCGAGTGGGTGACCGCGATTAAGTGTACGAACGCTTCCGGTTAGGCCCTCCCTCCGTGGGTGATTTTTAAAGGTAAAATCTTAATTGAATCCTGGTTCGACGGCCTTCCTCTCGATTGGCGATTTGAGGTTATTCCTTCGACTTCTTCACTTACGAAGGGGGGTTATCGGCTTCTAGTACTTGATGGTCACGGAAGTTATTTAACCGAGAAATGCGACGAAATCTAGAGAAAACAAAATTATACTAATCTATATGCCTCCGCACTCCTCTCACCTTTTATGACCTCTCGATATCGGCTGTTTTACGGTGTTAAAACGATCTTACGGTCGGCGTGGTTGAATTTAAAATGCGGAACGGGATAAATCATATTGATAAACTTGATTTCCTCGAAGTATACCCCCTTACACGAATAGAAGCCTTTAGATCTGGGACTATTAAAAGTAGTTCAGATCTGCTGGTTTAGTCCCTTTTTCACCGGAGAGAGTGATTTCGAAGCTTGTTATCTGGCTTACCTACCGCCCCTCTGAGCGGGGTAGCGATTGGGAGCCAAAAACGCCTTCGAACTACGTGCAATTATAAAAGCAAGCTTCGTCAATTAAAGCATTGCTTCGTATAAGATCAAGAAGCCCTCCGAGCCCGCTGAACTGCACGATAAACCAGTTTTTAAAAGCCTGCCAAATCACTATGCAATCGGCGGCTTTGCTTGAGAAAGAAGTGAGCGATTTACGCGCCGAAAATGAGAAGAAAAATGCAAAAGCGAGCTAGATCTAGGAAGCAGATACTAGCTACAGAATGCCTATCAGTTGCGGAAGCACCTGCATTAATTATGCAGCCGGTGGAAGCAATAGAAGCACCTATACCCCCCCAGCGAAGAAGGCCTTCGCCACCTTTGGCAACCAAGAACTAGGGCTTGACGGACGTGCGGGCTATGTAAAAACCAGGGCCATAGGAGAGATGCATGTTCAGATAGATGATGATTTCAGTTTATCTAATTTAATGGCGTTTTGGTTGAGATAAATGCATTTAAATTTAGTAGGTTGGGTGTCCGGCTCGCTTGTGAAATACTTTAGCTACATAGTCAATTTTATTACTGCTCATAACACTGCACTCCTTTCTTTTCTTCGTCTTTTTCCTACTCTTTTTCCCTTTATTATTTTCGAACGGATTGTCCTGGCTTCTGCCCCATGACGAGATGGAAATATGAATACAGTCGCAGATCCTTTTGCTGCAGTTCCTCCTGCACCCGACCAAGCAGGGCATCCGTGTCTTCCTTTGACCAGCCCAGTGTCTTGGTGAACAGACGCAGCATATATCCCTCCAGCGCGCACTGCATCTGGAACATATAGAAACTCCCAATGTCTTTCAGCTTGGGGTTGTCACTCCACTCGCCAAACAGGACCTGGTCGCAGATGCTCAAAGTCAGCTTCTCAGGCCACAATCCACAGGATGGATTGTCTTTTGAATCTTTTTCCTTTCAGGATCACCTTGAATATCTGTTCATCGACTTGCACAAAGCCAGCTGAGTGCATCAGCCCCTTCTGCTCGGCTGCCACGTTGACTCTCTTGCCAAACTTGGCCGCTGCCTCGTCCATCGAGGGTGCGTTATCAGTAAAGAAGTGTCAGTCGTTCTCCCATACTTCCAACCACCCGCCCGGGAGAAGATGCCGGTACGTATTGGCGTAGAACCCGTCGTAGTCGGCAATCACTTCGCCTAGCGACTGCGCATGGATTAGATGAAACGCTGTCTTGCGGTAAACGGCCAATCGCCTTCGAGGTCGTGGTGTTCGAAACACTGGAGATCTGGAGATATGTGGGTCGGGTCCATGCCCGTCAGGCGCGGGCCAGGGTGATGCCGGTCGAGCACCATGAACGTCCAGGAGCCGCTGCGGGCGGCCGAATTCGACCATTTTGTGGTTTTTCTTGACCGGACCTAGGGGAGCAACAAAGGTTCTGCCGTCTAGAAGACGGTGCCAGATAGTGTTGATGATCCCGTGTGCTGTGGTGGCCTTTGTGTCGTCTGGAAAGGGGAATTCGGCCTTCAAGCCGTAGTAGCGGCGTCCATTTTCGTATGAGTGGTTATTGTGTGCACTCAGTCAGTTGCGTTCAATTTTTCTTTTCTTCTATCTTCTCTGCCTCTATTTATTATTGTTGTTGTGGTTATTTTATTATTGATTCCTTTTTCGTACATTAAGGCATCAATACCCGGACTATCTATCCACCCGGCTGTGAGTATACTCGTCCTCTGATTGGCTGTCACTTTATCGGCCATAAAAGTCCCCAGAATAATTTTGTGGAAGAGCTTGAGGCAAGGCTGTTCCATCGCCAGCATGCATTCCTATATTCGCCCAGGCCAGTACGTGGCTATCCGGCTCCAGTCGGATCAGTTAAGGCTCATCCAGATCATTCCCGATACGTAAGTACTATCTGCTCTATGCGGGGAATATTCCATCGCAAGAACTAACGTTGGCCAAGAATCGTCAATTTGGGTAGATTTGGTAGCTTTACCGCCAATCAGATTATTGGACGACCATTCTATTTTACGTTTGAAATCCTCGATGCGTGCGACGACGCTGGCCACCAGCTTCGGGTCGTGTCAGCAACCGAGTTGCATGCGGAGACCCTCCTCGCTGGGGAGGGAGATGGGGAGGGAGACGACGTGGAAACTGGCGAGAATGGAATACCGATGCGAACAAATCGTGAAATCATCGACGAGAACTCTTCCCAGAAATTGACTTTGGAGGAAATCGAAGAATTGAAGAGAGAGGCCGGTGGCGCGGGAAAAGACATTGTCGCAAAGCTCTTGGAATCGCACAGCGCAATAGATCAGAAGACCGCATTTTCTCTCGCCAAATACACGCTGCGGAAACGCAAGAAGTATCTGAAGCGGTTTACTGTCCTCCCACTGGACGTTGGCCTTCTCGCCAATTACTTGATCGAAGAACGGGATGCGCAAAAGGCCATGGAGCTACGGGATGAACACATCGGTCTCATCGGGTGCTGGGGTAATGTACATCACAGCGGAAACGTTGAGGTGGGTGAGGGGATGAAGCCGCATGGACGCTATGCCATCGTCGACGAGACTGGCGGACTTGTTGTTGCCGCGATGGCTGAGCGCATGGGAATTCTATATCCGCACGATGCCGATGAAGACCCAGTAGAAGAGCAAGATGCTTCAGCCCACAATGCCGCAGAATCCCAACATACCAATAGCCCCCCAAAGCCCCGGCGCATACGTCCGCAGCCAATGTCCGCTACTACCAACACCATCACCGTTATCCACCCATACTCACAACCGAACTTGTCACTCTTGAAATTCTTTGGCTATGACACCAATAACCCGGATGAATCCCACCCACTCCACACCCGTCTCAAATCAATTTCCTGGATGCAGTTGGCTGACCCCAATTCCGATCCGCTCTACGCCAACGAACCACCCATCATACCCGCAGAGGAATTGGCTGAACTTAAACAAAGCAAGCGCACTGCATATTACCACAAGCGCAATCGATGGGCGCGAGTTAAAGCAGTTGTAGATGAGGCCCGGGACGGTAACTTTGACGGTCTGATCGTGTCCACCTTGCTAGAGCCAGCAAGCGTCCTAAGGACAATGGTCCCGCTCCTTGCGGGATCAGCCCCGGTTGTCGTATATTCTCCGACTGTCGAGTCTTTGGTTGAATTGACAGACATGTACTCCACTGCTCGGAGAACCGCATTTATCAACAAAAAGCGAGAATTGGAGTCGCAGAGCTCCGAAGGAGAGGCCGTCGATTTGTCCTCACTTCATGAAGAATTCGTGGTCGATCCGACAATTCTGCTTCCACCTACCTTGCAGACGTCGCGTGTGCGCCCTTGGCAAGTCCTACCCGGTCGAACCCACCCCCTCATGACTGGACGTGGTGGTGCAGAGGGATATCTCTTCCATGGTATTCGCGTGCTCCCCACCGCACAGAATATCCAGGCTGCTGGCAACGTTCGCAAGAGACGGAAAGTGGAAACGGCATCTACCCCGGTCAGTGATCGGGACGTGGAGATGACGTCCTAGGTTTCACGAATGAATGCCCTAAATGCCCTCAAAATAGATCGAATAGCATTTCAATGTACAATTACAACGACATCTTATTTTTCGTGTGATCTGACTTACTCTAGCTGCCACCCGTTATTTGGACATATTGAACATCGAGTTAGCCCTGGAGGGCTAGTGTGGGGACGAGTTTGACTTCCAGATATGGAAGTAGACACACCCAAGCCTCTCTGGTAGTTACGCAAAGTGCTCAGTGTGGTTTTGAATCAAGTATCAAATTCATTCACGCGCTGAATTTCATCAAACAATATACAGCGACGCTCGTCATCTAGAGACTCTTTCCCATGAACTTTCTCTTCGTGAAACTCAGCCAAAACTAAAATTGGTCAATACTTGGGATCTATCAAACGTGCAGTCTTTGCTTCCTCTTACCTTTGATGGCCCGACTCCACCGGGGTATAATCTAGCGTGTAGGCGGATGGCGATCTCCTGTCGCACCTGCGAGATGAACCTAGAGTTGCAAGAGCCGGTTAGCTAAAATTGATCTGCAACGTATAGCAACGAGAATCTCACTGGCGAAGAGTCTCAGCATCCTGGCGGTCACGCGGGGGCTCAAAGGCCTGGTTAAGCGGGAACGACACATCACCGGGAATAGCAAAGTTGTCGAGGGCGGCGTTGGTCAGGGCCTGGAAATACGATTGTCAACGATAGTTCTGCTATATCCGCGCTTTTGACACAGAGTATCAAAATTTACCTTCTCCGCATCACGGGCATTCATAGTTGGCTTGACCTTTCCTAGGCAGTCGCTAATAAACAGAGTTCCATAAATGAGCATGCGGTCCGCGGGGCCGTTGATCTCAAAGTTGCGGAACAAGACATTGGCACGGAAAAGTGATAGGATTTCATCGACGCAATCATATGATTCACTTTCTGGCGACACATCAATGTCATCGGTGGTGGGAAGCGGGGGCAATGTGTATGCGGGGCCGCGAGTACGGGTTCGGAGGGGAAGAATAGGGAAATTTCCTAATGCAAGACATTCAACGGTCAATTTGGCCTCCCTGAAATGTTCGATTCATAGCTCAGGAACTCCTGCGCTAGGCTTGATAGGAGTCCTACCTATCACGGGGACATCGCGGTCCTCCAGGAAGATGGAATGGTATGCCTGCATTGAGGGTTAATAACAGACTTCGGACGCACATGAAGGTATTAAAACCTACAGGCATTTTGAATGCGTTAAATAATCAAATTGGTAGGAAGTTCAATCCAAGAGACCGGGGGAACAGGTTGACCCGTTGGAGGTAGGCAGTTGAGGGATGTCATCTGTGGAGTCACCCAAAGCTCCATGATTTTCCGCCCCGAGCCTCTTTACGCGCTCCACGCGTCAGACCATTGGGAACTTTTTCGCGGTTTACCTGCTCTTCTTGACTTTGGCTGTTGATATTGATTATTTATCTCTACTAAACAGACATTCGCCATGTCAGATTACGATGAAATGGACGTGGATGCGCCCAAGGACGTGCAATTTAGCTCCGACAACGCCAGTGGGAAAAAGAGAAATGTCGCTGACCTGCCAGTCGAAGCTCAAGATAATCTGCCGTGGTGAGTTTGGGAATTGTAACGATTATTGTTCTATCACTAACAAGCTTGTCAGGGTCGAGAAATACCGACCAAGCAGCCTAGATGACGTCTCCGGCCATCAAGACATTCTCGCGACTATCAACCGGTTTGTGGAGACAAATGTAACAAATGCCTATGATTATGGATGTACGATACCCTCGGACTAAAATTCTCATACAGCGACTGCCCCATCTCCTCCTCTACGGACCTCCAGGAACCGGAAAGACCTCTACCATCCTAGCCCTGGCACGGCGGATCTACGGTACCAAAAACATGCGACAGATGGTGTTGGAGCTGAATGCAAGTGATGATCGTGGTATTGATGTTGTTCGAGAACAAATCAAGACCTTTGCAAGTTCGTGCCTTGGGAGTCTCGAGTTGAACTACAAGCTTACCGTGGACACCAACAGGCACCAAACAGATCTTCAACATGGCCCCTCAAGGCGCTGCCGGCTCCCCTCTGGCAGGTTTCAAGCTTATCATTCTGGATGAAGCCGATGCGATGACTTCGACCGCGCAAATGGCCCTCCGCCGTATCATGGAGCGCTACACGGCCAATACCCGATTCTGCGTCATTGCCAACTACACACATAAGCTGTCCCCGGCACTCCTGTCTCGGTGTACCAGGTTCCGGTTTAGTCCATTGAAGGAAGTTGATATTCGGAATTTGGTCGACCAAGTGATTGAGAATGAGGGTGTCAGGATACAGCCGGATGCGGTTGATAGTCTAGTGACCCTGAGCAAAGGTGATATGCGACGAGCCCTAAACGTGCTTCAGGCATGCTTTGCCAGTAGTAAGTTCATGTCCTTCCTCCTTGCTCACATCCAGCCCAATTGACCAACGTTATCTTTTTTAGGTATCCCGCTGCCGATGAGAGACGCCCCTAAAGCCCCTCGTCCCCAGCCCGAGACTATTACCAATGCGACTATTTATGACTGCATTGCTGCCCCACACCCATCCGATATTCAAGAGATCATGACCACCATCCTCTCCACCAGCGATGTCACTTCCTGTCTGAACACCGTGCAAACCCTCAAGACCACCAAGGGTCTAGCTTTGGCCGACATCCTCTCCGCACTAGCAGACCAACTCCAACAACTCGAAGTCCCCGCTCAAACACGTATCACATGGCTCGAGGGACTGGCCGAGATTGAATGGCGACTTGCAGGGGGCGGTTCAGAAGCTATTCAGACTGGAGGGCTCGTCGGCGTAGTGAGAAATGGATGTGAGTTAATGGGCGACAAGGGTGTTACGGTGGCATAAGGACAAGCGATATGATCCAAATATTCTCTGGTTTTTCTTTCATGTCATATAAAATGTAGCAAAATCTGGGTTGGAGTCTGGAGGCGAAAAGGAACAAAGAATATCTTATTTTCGAAGACATAACCGAAAAGTATAGTGAACAATTTTATTATCTCTGTTATAGGCATTATCATTTTCCATTTAATTGTCAATCCATTAATCTACCTACATGTGTATATCCATGGATGTATGTATGAGGTAGACCTCCGCCTATCCGCTATCCTCCGCTATCGCAGCTCTCCGGCTGACCGCGGAGATGTTTTCAATTAGCTAATTTGTTCATTTCGAACTGACTGGAACTTGGCATTGACCAATTGACTTGAATCGTATTCTTTCCACTAAACTATTCTCAGACTACACTTATCAGTTTCCCCCGCTCCCAAGCTAACAACCTTAAAGGTTTGAAGGATCGGAAGAGTCAATGGGTCTTGCCCGCAACAGCTTAACTTTGACATAAGACTACATAAAGGTTGTACTCCCGGGGATTTTGTTGCTTCTTGAGATTTTTTCTCTGTTTTCTTCCTTATTTCACCATGCGGTACTCTATCCAATCTGGTATCTTGCTGGCTGCATCTTTGTCTCCTGTTGTTGATGCCGAGCGTGTGTTGGGTGCGTATATCTTTGCCCGCCATGGAGATCGCACGCCAAAGGTGTTTGGCAGCACCGAACTGACCGACCTGGGCTACCGGGAGGTCTTTGATTCTGGGTCTTTCTACAACAAGCGGTACATCTCGTCGGACTCTTCCAAGCAGATCGAGGGCATTAGTGCCGATGTTGTCAACCCAAAGCAGATCAGTGCCTCTGCTCCCTCGGACGCCGTACTGCAGAAGTCCGCCACTGGCTTCCTACAGGGCGTGTACCCCCCTGTGGGGAAAGTGGCTTCCCAGACCCTGGGCAATGGAGCCTCGGTCGAGGCACCATTGAACGGCTACCAGCTCATTCAGCTGGTACCTGCCACTACAAGCAAGAACGCTGAGGATACCACCTGGCTGCAGGGCTCCAGTGGATGCCAGAAGGCAACCCTGAGCAGCAACAACTACTTTAACTCCGAAATGTACACCTCGTTGCTATCCTCAACCAAGGAGTTCTACCAATCGCTTTCACCCATGCTAGACAGCACATTTGCCTTGTCTGACATGACCTTCAAGAACGCCTATACCATCTTCGACTACTTGAACGTCGGCAAAATCCATAACTCTACCAGTCAATTCCCTCACAAGTCAGACCTGACCGACGAGGTATACCACCAGCTGATTGCTCTAGCTGGAAGCCTTGAATTCAATCTGGCTTACAACTCCTCCGACAAAGTGCGCGCCATCGACGGTGCCGTCTTGGCAGGCGAAATCTTGGCTGGACTCAACGAGACCATCGCTACCAAGGGCCAGTCCAAGCTGAACATCGGATTCGGCTCTTATGGCACGATGTTCTCTCTCTTCGGTCTGTTGCAGATGCCTGCTGCATCGGTCAACTTCACTGGAATCCCGGACTACGCCTCGTCAATGGTGTTCGAACTGGTGACTAACGCCAGCGGCACCGACTTCCCAACTGACACGTCCGATCTCAGCGTGCGTTTCATGTTCCACAATGGTACTATCGCGGGCTCATCTGAGCCTACTGCATACCGACTGTACGGGTACGACCAGTCAAACGAGCTGATCTCCTGGAACGACTTTTACTCGAAGACCAAAGAGGTCGCTGTTACTTCCGATGACGAGTGGTGTGCCATGTGCGGCAACACAGACGGCAAGTGCGCTAGTTCGGACAGCACCAGCGGCGATGCCAGCTCTGCTAGCACCTCTGGCACTAATGGCTCGGGAATGTCACTCGCTGTGGCAGGTGTCGTTGGTGCTATGGTTACCCTCGCAGTGATTCTTGGTCTGCAGGCTATCTTCTTCCTGCTTGGTGGATTCCGCATTGCAAAGCGGAACAAGACTAGCGCTGAAATGATGAGCTCTGACATTGTGGAGGATAAAAAGGTTTAGATTCTTGGGTTTTCCAATCGGATCAGACGAATGGGGGAGGTCCGAAGTCTATGACTCGCTTGATAGGATTTGCAATGCGTAATGAATCTATGAAAATGCAATAACGATTTGAATCTGATTTTGAACTATACAACATGAAATTCAACATGACATCTGCGAGGCTTAATCAAAGCATGCAGGTTTCGTGCCATCTCATTCACTTTGTTTCCATTTGCAGGCTAGATCCCTGCTCAAGCCAATGAGCATAATAATAGTTTCAACAACATCTCTTCGTCCAACCTTGGAAGTGACCATCCCGCAGATTCACCGCCTTAAGTCAACAACTTGAAGCTCGCCAACTGTTCTCTCTTCTCTTCTCTTCTCAACAGAATGCCTCGCCAACAGATCAATCTAGAACCCTGCCGGGATGAGATCATTGCTTTGTACCACAATGGTATCAGTAGCGACTCTATCAGCCGCACCCTCGAAAGTTGTCATAATATCCAAGTCAAGGAGCGAACTATCCAGTCCCGCCTTCGCAAGTGGGGCATCCGCAAGCGACACCAGACGACGACAGGCGATGAGGCTTTGCATGCGCGCATTAAGATGCTTTTCATAAAGGATAGGCTGACCGATAAGGCCATGCTCAACATGTTGCAGAAAGAAGGTTACGGTATCTCCGAACGCACTTTGCGCCGCCTGCGGTTTAAGTTAGGACTCCATGCCAGGGCTTCGGAGCAGGAGCAGCACCAGGAACAGGGCCAGATGCAGGAGCAGATGATTGTTCCGAAGCCTCCGGCAGAGGGACAACCGGGGTGAATCTGACTTGCTGGAACTGAAGCTTGAGCTTCTGCTGGGTTCCCATCAAGCAATAGCGTATGGGCGACAAATCGTGGCGATTATCAGTAATCTCACCCTACGCGACAACACTGGACTACTCCCCATGCGACTCACCTGCGGCTGTACATGTCTCTATCTTTATCACACTCCGGCAGTGATGATCTCAAGACTCCATTTTCCCTGGATCGATATGTGCTTCCAAGGTGGCCTCTCGATGGCTGACTCGAACCTCAATTTTGCAACCGACGAAACTTTTGTCAATGCCCCATCTTCCTCACAAAATAAGCTCTCGCACTGGTGATCCGGTGAGCCGGGTAGTGGATCTTCCTTGAATCATTCGACCACCTACCAGCATCCACTGCCACCAAACATCATGCCTGATCAAAATCATCATCATGTGCTCGAGATACTCACCAGAAGGTCTCTTGGCTCCCGCTGCTATTGACCATTCCCGAATGCGACAGATTCCATCCTACCTTATGTTGCCTGGCTCGTCACATGTCTCATTCCGACACTGCGTAAATATCCAAATGTGCCATGTAGTGTTGAATTCAAACGAAATGGATGTCATTCATTTCTCAGTTAAGTTTATCTCGAACAAGATGTCCTTGGACACCAAGTAAATAAGGGCTAGAATCACGTCACGTGCCATGACGTTCCTTCGAGCTTTTGATCGGAGAAACCAATCCATTGAATCGTAACACTCGAGAGGGGTGTCCATATCCCCAAAAACACTCCAAGTCCTCGTCCAACTCTTCTTGTGGCACGCGCCGTAAGCCGGTAGCTTACTTGCCCATCATGTCCACCCAATACGCCAGCGAGCCCAATCCCACTGCGTCGGCGACGCTCAACACGACGGTGGGCCCTATCCAGATCGCGCTCTTCGCAAACCAGGCACCTCTCACCTGCAAAAATTTCCTCCAGCACTGCAAGGACAACTACTATGCCGACACAATCTTCCACCGGGTGGCCCCCGACTTTGTGATCCAGGGTGGTGATCCCACCGGCACTGGTTCCGGCGGAACTTCTATCTATGAATATCCGGAATTCGAATTCGACCCAGAAGCTCGGGACCCGAACGAGCGAGTCGTCCTACGTGATGAGCTACACAGTCGGTTACGCTTCAATCGACGTGGCTTGCTGGGAATGGCCAAGAGCGAGGACGGGACATACGGCAGTCAATTTTTCATCACGCTAGCGAACACAGAGCGTGAGTTGAATGGACAATGTACAATTTTTGGAAGACTGGAAGGGGACAGCATCTACAATGTGTTGAAAATCGCAGACGCAGAGCGCATTGCGGGCACCGAGCGTCCTGTTTATCCGATCAAGGTGACATCCTGCGAGGTTGGAGAACTGGGGCCATTGGAGGGCAAGTTAAAGGACAGAAAGACAGTCTCAACTGCCGGGAAGGCGGAGAAGGGCGCACCCAAGAAAAAGAAGAAGGCGCCTAAAGGCGGGAAGACGCTTCTGAGCTTTGGAGACGAAGGAGACGAAGAAATGCCCATGCGCCCAGCGAAGCCGAAATTCAACACTAATTTGGTCGTGGATGTGCCAGGTGCAAAGGCCGAAATATCAAAAACCAAACCTGGAGCAGAAGCCCTATCACAGCCGCGCAAACGACCCCGGTCGCCATCTCTAGATCGATCGCCGTCTACAGAGCGTAAAAAGCGCCCAAAGACACCAGAGCCAGAAGCACAATTGCCCCTGCCTCACCCTGAGTCGCCTACCCGGTCTCCGACTCCGGAAGCCGCGCCCGCAAAGGAGTCCAGGCTGTCGCGGACAAACGCTCAGATTGCCGCTCTGATGGCATCAATGCGCCGCGACGTCGACGTCGGTCCAAAGGACACAGGCCGAAAGAAATCTGCCCTCGAAGCCATGATCCCCGAGACCTCAATCCGAGGACGGAAACGGCCACCTCCAGGGACTGCAAATGGCTCCAGTCGCAACGGGACAGGGCCTAGTAGCGCCGCTGAGCGAGAAGCATTGCAACTCTTCAACGCCTTCAAAGCCAAGCTCGAAGGAGCTAAGCCCGAGCCAACTGCCACATCATCACATAGCAAAAGTCACAAAGACACCGAAAATCAAAAGGAAGACGAAGAAGACGAAGAGGCCCAACTCTGCGATCTGCACTTCATTGCAAACTGCCAATCCTGCCAGGTATGGGACAATCCCAAGGCAGAGGCGGACGATACCGAAGAGCAAGATGGAGGTTGGCTCTCGCACGAACTCCGCTTTGGGAAAGATACCCTAGGCAAGGACTTAAACTGGAAGCGCGAGCACGGGGGTGATGCAGACTCACTTATGGTGATTGATCCCCGTGAGCGAGAGAAGGAGGTAGTAGGACGAAAGCGGGGATTACAGCGTGATAGGGAGCGCGAGCGTAAACGGGAGCGAGTGGGCGACTTGGAATGGGATAAAGGGCGCTAAATTGTTCTTATTATTTAATGTCAGCTCTTTCCATCCTAGCCTATCAATTTTCCGCCCCCGCATATAAACCAGATTCTAACTCGTCGGATGTTCCTAGCCAGGCGCTATGCCCTGTAGAGATAACCTTGGAAGCGACAGCGTGTTACAAATGTCATGTCCGGAGGGTCCTACCATTGGTTATTATGTTCGCCTCGTTCTTTTGTGCCAGTCTCATTACTTCCCGTATCCAATGATTGCTGAAAGCAACACACCATAATGACGGAGTACGTGGGAGTTCCAATCTGGGAAGGTGCCTGGCCGGGCCAGAAAGATATAAATCTCATCTCCAGTCTATCTTTTGGTCTCATTGTCTAAATTCAGTGACCTTTTCCCCAAAAGCTGGCACGAGCCTGAAATCATGACTGATCGAAAGAAATTTCTGCATTCAAAAGATTTCGAAGAGGGTAAGGTGCCCTCAAAATGCCTACCATACCGAAGCTGCCTTTGGCGCTAAGTATTCAAAAACAAAGGCCTTCTAGCACTCGATAGTGCAATTGGTCACGACGACTGGCTTATTGCATTCGCGCCAATCTGACTGATCAGTGCACGCGGGTTCCTTGCGGTGTCGTATCTCAAGAATCGCGAGAGCACAGGCGATGTCGATTATCTGATCTATCGCTCTTAGATCGTATAGAGCCAACCTGTATTGGTGATGATATTGTGCCGAGCAAAATTAGGGCCTTTGCCGTTCTTCGAGCACCAGATTCCCCTCGGCACCCAGCGAGTCTGGTGGCACTAAGAGTCTCAATAGATCTTTATCCGTAGGCGCCACACTTTTCGTCCATTCCGGCAGTTCTTCCGGGTAAAGGAGGCAACAGGTCTCCATCCTCCTCACGGTAGACGTGTTCCCGATTTCTCCTCAGACCGAGGCTCAACTTCCAGTTAACTGCCTCATGTAATTCTTCTACGATAGAAGCGATCATTGCATAACGAAGCGGATCAGAGTCTATCGGGTCTGGTATATCTCCAAGCTTCCAGCTTTGCTGGAAAAAGAAATACTCCGTTTCATAGCCTATCAGCTCGTAACGATCCGCGAGGTGGAGCTCGTAGAGCCAGTAAATAGACCGTAGGGGCGTGTCCCGCATTGCCCAGATTGGAATATAACGAAGGTTGTGTATAGCATGCCGGTCCCATTTCGTTCGTCCTCAATCAATTCGCGAAGAGAAAATTGTTCTGGGATGGGGAAGTACCAGGACGGATAGGGAATGAACAAGCGAAGGAGTGTCAGTAGGGATACTTGTGTTCGTGTTTTGAGGCGAATGAGACTACCACGTAGCCGGAGAGGTGAGCTCCAGCAGCGAAGCCATCTTCGAAAGCGGACCCAGAGAGACAACTTTGGTCTAGGGCGACGTGGAGGCATTGGCAAGTTAATTTAAAGTCAAGGGGAGAGAGAGAGTCGGAGAGAAAGAGCTCGATAACTGGGGGCGGTGGTGCCTCAGATGCCTCAGGCCTGCTTTTACAATTATCACGCTTTCAAGACCAAGTACATGACAACATCTGTTGAACTGTTAAAATGACATGAGAGAGAAAGTAAAGCAAAGGTATCTCATTAAAATTCCAGGACTCGGATCATTCATGGATCATCATAGGTTTTTACAGCCAAGTCACATTTCCCCCAGGCACATAAATAAACCCCATATCAACAGGGAAACGCCTAATTGTACGCCGGACATTTTTGTCTCCATCCAAGCCCTAACCCGTCCTTGAGAATCTGCTCCATCTGGTATTCCTCGCGCAGTCGAATCACGCCTTTCTGCGCCGTTTCGTCGCACTGCCGCCATCATTTACAGCTTCGCCTGAATTCTCCGTGGCTGCGGGACTGGTGGTTTCGCTATCCGTCAGTTGCTCGATCACACGCCCAGATTCATCGTAGCCGGCACCGTCGAAGCCATAGCTGTAGGTGGGATCTCCCTGCCCATTATGGGGGGTTTCAAAGAGATCAGGCTCGGCGGGGATGTGATCGAAATCGAACAGGTCGTTGGTGTCTCCCTCATCGCCCTGGACGGTCTCAACAGGATCGTGTGTATTCTGGCCTGCCCCCAAGTGGCTCATTGGATTCTCGGCCTGTTTCTTCATATCGGAACCTGCATCTCCAATGTCGGTGAAGTAGTCGTTGTTGAAGATTTGGTCGAGGTCAAGCGGCGGTGGAGGTACATTGCCCTCACTGTCGATACCGGGAATGGTGCCATTCGGGCTCAGCGGCTGGAGAAGACTAGTCAAGTTCTGGACAGAACGATCCTGCTCAGCTTGCATCTTGACTAGGTTGTCGATCTCTTGTCGTGTGCTGGCTAGCCTGCCCGAGTAGTTGTGCGGCATGGCTGGTGGATTCGGCGAGATGAGCGCATTGTTGGGTGATACGCCAGCGTTGGGTTCTGATGAATTTGTTTCGTTGGCCATGAGTCGAAGCATATCGGCGCGTTGATTTGCCGTAAGGGGAACATTACCACCATGATTTTCGAGGGAGGAGAGCACATTTGGGAACTCGGAGAAGTTCGTTGAGAGCCCGTTGCGTGCATTGGAGTTTTGGATTACAGACATAATGTCCTGTTGAGGGTTCTCGTCTGTCGGCTGTCCCGGAGTAACGGTCGGAGCACTTGAGCGGGGGCTGTGGTCAAAGACCTCCTCCACATGGCCGTGCCGGTTGGCGCTGGGTTGTCGAGTATGGCCCCGAGACCGCGTGTCATAGGAGCCACTGGCTGATGGTGAAATTGTGGAGGACCGAGCATACGCGTCCGCTGCAGGCGGAGCCTTCAAAAGCAGCGGCGGCTTCTTCATTGTTCTCTGGGCGCTGGGGCTAGTCATTGATCCTAGGGCATTGGTAAGATAGTCATCATCAACATCCACAATGTTTCCTTGGTCCTGCGAAATGGCTCCTGCGAAAGAATTCGCGAGGTTCTGTGGCCCACCCTCTCCCTGCAAACTGCGGTTATATACGGTTGCAAGGAATGTTAGAATGGCATTGATGGAGTTCTCATGGCGAGTGTGTTGCTCCTGGAAGTTGGCTGCCTGCGCATAGAGTTGCTCGTGTTCTTTCCGCAGCCTGGTGATTGTGGTTGAGATGATTGACTGCTGTTGACGAATCGCCTGAAGTTCGCGATATACCCCAGAAAGTTGATCGTTGGGTACAGAGCCGTCCGTGACTAACGACAATTGCTGTGGTCGGGGAGCACGGTTATCGCGAACAGCCGGTGCACCCTCTTCGGCATAATCATCCATGTCATTATCATCAATATCCTCCGTCTTCACGCGCGCGGCGCCCTTGCTAGGTTTGCTTGCATGTCCGCCGCCTCCAGCGTTCTTTGGCTTCTGAATGAGCCATAGCAAATCCGGGTGGCCTCGTTTGAAATAAGGGTTGGCGTACTCGCTGGGACTCTTGTTTTTCCGTTCGCTGGCCCGCATCGAATTATCGGAAAGTCCGACCTTCTTGTGAAAGCCGTACATGTTCAGTTGTCGGACGAATGAGGCGTAGTTATTGTGTTTGAAGAGCTCGGGGATCAATGTTCTCGCAAACTCATCTTCGTCTAGGACAACGAAGGAATTGCCATCGTCGGACCATCGAATCAACTCTGTATTCTTGGATTCGTCCAAGAAGCTGCAGGTCTCAGTTAGCCCTACAATTGACCACAAAGCAATAGATGTATCATACCTGCTCAATTTCTGTACAAATGGCGGGATTTGCTTTCGTTTTGCCTGTGAATCTCTCTTCGCAGTCAAGGCTCGCCGGTAGAGCTCATCAAGAGACTCCCCCCATGCGCCGCTCTCACCACTTCCATTGTTTCCTCCATTTTCCACATATGAAGCAGGAGGTTGCTCGTAGCCACGGTTTCGGCTGACCACCTGGTTCGCTTGTCGGCGGGCGAGCTGGTTAGATGCTGTCGCAGCCGGTGCCGACACATCTTGGGGTGGCGCAAAACCTACGGGGTTGTAGGATGAATCAGAGAAGGCGGAGGTATTGATGGCGTTGACGGGGGGGTTCTGGCCCCATTGTAAGAATTGATCGTTCGAAAGCTGAGATCCAGGGTTCGCAGTGGCCGGAAAGTTCGGTACAGGGTTCATCTGAGGATGGACGGGGGGTACTGTTCCCGGTGCAGGTCTCTTGCGGGTTATTCCTTGCGAGCTCATTGTGAATAGGCTGGCGTAAAGGCGTCGAGTTGAATCTTATCGCGGTGGGGTTCGATATAGAATTGAATCTTGATTTTCTCTGGTCTCTGGATAGAGACTAAGGTGACCGCAGGAATCTTGCCTAGGAGACAAAGGAACCGGACGCGAACTCAGTATGCAGGAAGTTGTTCATCCAAGTCGCTGTCTAATTTTTGAGTCAAGAAGGCTTTGACCGCAGAACCGAGAGAAGAAAGATGGACACTGGTCAGGGCGCAGAATCTGCTGTATCGACGCTGAAGTAGACAAGGGATCACAGGAATCGATAACAGGCAAATCAAGGACCAGAAGTAGTCAATACTAGGCAGATGACGTTCAATGGGCGCGTGAATTGTCCAACATCCAGAATAAGGCGGGAGGCTCCAGCAGAAAGCGCCCACTGGGCGGTGAATGGGTCGATATGCCAGTTTGTATGTCTAGAGGCACCAACGTTGGAAAACCTGGAGATAATCAAACGAATATGCTACGCTGTCAATAAGATGAATATGAACCCCATGCCACTCGGCGGCGAGACCAAGTTGCCCCATTCCGGGGGAGGCGTTGACTGAGTCAGCAAGATGTTGGGTGGTGACGAGTACCAGTACTTCATTTACCATGTGATCACACGTGTCTAACAGGTATCAGTACCTACAGATGAACTGGTCGTTATATCGACTATTTCAGCCGTGATCATTGAATTCACAATGGCAATGTCAATATACCGTTTCATAGTTATATCCTCTCAAGTATTTGGATTCTGCAGTAACCACTACCATTAAGCAGTCCGCGACTGTCTCCACAGCTCGCTCAATGTCCTACATGGAACTAGATTCCCCTATCAAACCCCGGAACTCCGTCAGAATCTGGTGCCATAAGTCAGGTTGCTTCCGCGTAAAATTTTCGACCTGTTTAGGAGCAGACAAGTCTTCTTTCATGCGCGACTCATTCTTGGTCCCATTCAGCACCACCACATCCTTCAAGCCCATAACTAGAGTATAAAAAGCAGCAGGCGGTGTTATTCTAATATGGTGAGCAAGTTGCTGCACTGGCCGAGAGCGCACGAGGTCCGGATTCGCTGTCAAAGTCCAAAAGCTCTGGTATATGATCTGGTTCTCGCGGCAGAAGGCGCGCAGGGGGACATCATACAAAGTATCCTCGTAGAATCTGTTCTGCACAACTGATGGCTTCACAGTTGTGTGGGACGACGTAGACAATTCTCTGAGTATAGGCAATGTACAATTGGAGATACCTAAGTTCCGGATGCGATGAGGAACATAACTCTCAAGGGCGCGCCAGGCCTCCAGGGTCTGGGCTAAAGTTGACAGTGGCGAATGAATGATCACGGTGTCAATGTAGGCCTCATCCACAGAGTCGGGGTCAACTTTTGAGCGAAGATTGTGCAATGATGATTTGATAGATGCATGCACCTGAACCGTCACCGTCGCTGACGGATCATAGGGCAGATTGGCCATGTCCTGTGCCGAGACAGGACTATATTTGGTTTGCACCTGATTATGGTTAGCTGCCAAATCCCTAAATACATCTCAATTAAAAATAGCAACTATCCACTCACATATAAGTCCGTTCGGTCGACGATCCCATCGGCAATTGCTCTGCGGATGCCATCACCAACGAGATGCTCTTGGTAGTGGCGGGGTTGGGCCGCTGTGTCCACAGCCCGGAAACCGGCTTTGATTGCAGTATAGACTAGATCAGCGCTGCGGTCTTTCTTCCAGGCTGTGCCGTAGACGAAGACTGGGATGGAGGTGGAGGTAGTGCCCTGAGTTGGACGCAGGCAGTACTTTTCCCACATCTTGCGGTCCGAGTCGTCTATGTTTAGAGATGAACCGAGAAAGGGTGTGTAATTGACTGGTTTTGAGTGGAATCAGAGCAGAGGCCTGAAGGTACGTTCAAATGATGTTATGATTGCGGGCCACCCGGGGCCACTTCAGCGCTTTCTTACTAAGTAGAAGCCCTAGTACATAGGTACCCGTGGACCCATGGACACTGGGCGCTTGAGAATCTTCAGGGCTGTCCACATTGAAGATGGACTTAATAGTCTGAGTGCAACATACTGGTAGGGCTAGAATAGCTCCATTACTCCGTGGTTTTACTGAAAGTACGGCAAAAATATCAATAGTCGCGTTAGTCTGGACTAGCCGTCTACCAAGTCACTTGGGCGATGTCAACGGTAAGCCCGCTAAAATCAAGATCATCGAATGATATTTTGGATAGACTATTGACAAGCATTAATTGATGAACTTTAAGAATCCTGAAGCCTGGAGATCAGACTATTTACATAACATTTATGGCTGTATGCTCCAGGGCTATCTATATATAGCAAAATGGTGGGTAGAGCTCGGCTATCAGCAACCCGCATGGCATCTTTCACTGTGTAAACATAATTTTTATTCTCGAGCTCAGAGTTGTGGAGTACTCCGCACACAAAGAATGTCGGTTAACCTATAGTCAAGGCAAGGCTGCAGAATTTCTCTGGATGATATGCACCGGCCCCACAGCGTGGCTTAGACACTGGACTTGGAAAAGGATCTCCGGGGTAGAATAAGACCCTTTCTTGGCAAAGAGGAGAACAACATTGTATGGAGCAAGCGAAGGATGACTATTGAAAGGTCAAGCTCAGTTCAGGGATATAGCATAGCCACGGTGCCTGCATATAGATAGAGAAATCTACAGAACACAACAACCCAAATGCACGATATTAATAGCATTTATCTCGTTGGTATTGCCATTTGGGCTCTTGGCACAGTCTTGGCTGATGGAATAGACCAGGCAGCTGCTTTCGCACAATCAACATTGGTGGTACTCCGCCGATCAGTACATCAAAGTTGTATTCTATGATCTTGTGGTTGACAAGGGTGGGCATCTTGAGGGTCCATGTTCTATTTCGGAAAACTGACTATGCGCGGGGAATGCCGACAAAGAAGATCATCTCCTACGTGGAGAACGAAAAAGCAACTAGTTGCTCGGAATGGGCTTAGCGAAGGGAGAGTTATACCAACTTCAACAACATAAATATGTCTTGAATCCCCGCTATTGACTCGATCAGAAGACAACAATACAATCAAATTCCTCTACAATCATCAACAACAACAACAACAACATCAATATCAACAATCATGCGTACTCAGCAGCTCCTCCCTCTTTGTGGCCTCCTGCTTGCCAGCGTTGCTATCGCATCCAAATTGGACCATGATGATGTCCCCAATCGCTGTTGGCCTGCCTGCGGCCCCGTCGTTGGAATCGCCAAAAGTTGCGATGCCCAACACGAACGGGATTCAGCCGAGATCCAATGCATCTGCGATTGGGAAGCTGCCAAAACTCAGATCCCGCTCTGCTCCGCCTGCATCACCCAGTATCAAAACGACAGGCGCAACCACAATATCACTCATCACGACCATGATGACCATGATGATGATTATGATGACAACGACAATGACAATGACAATGACGACGACGACGATAACGGTATGTATAATGTGAATACATCAATATACAAAACAAATCTAATGCATTCATCAGAGGCCCTTGACCTTGTCCGCTCTTGCTCGCTCAGCACGACTACCTACAACTCTGCCGCTGCCACCACTGTGAGCACATCTACGGGCACTGCTGGAGCAAACACAGTCACCACCACAGACTCTTCAAACGCAGCCACCGGAACGGACTCTTCTAGCACCGGCGGAACTAACAGCCAAGACTCGACTCCGTCTGTCTCTGGATCGACTGATTCTGCTGGTGCTTCAGCGGGCTCCGCGTCCTCTCCCACCGCTACTCCCGATGCTGCAGCTGGTATTTCGGCTCCCGGTGCTGCATCCATGGCAGGTGCCGTGGGACTGATGGCTTTGGCTTGGCTGTGAGATTTGACAGAGTCGGATTTCCGTCAGGATGAGCGAGTGAATATACTCCCTGGTTTTATGAATGTGCCCAATGGTGTCCTTTACATTTTCAGATGATGTCGACGAGTTATGTCCAGTTTGAGATAGTCTATAGTACATGCAATTGACAGTTCCGTGGCTTTTTTTAAAAAAAAAGATTCGAGCGAGAGAAAGTATATGGAGTATACTCGGCAAGGATTTGCCTATGACTGGCTAGAGTAAGAAGAAAGTGGAAACAATATACAGCAACAGAACTAAGAAGCAATCACATTGAACATTAACGCAAGTATAGATATTGATACATCCCAGAAACTCTATACAAGGTAGATAAATACAGTCATATCTCATCCACAGGTGTTTGATGCGCATCTGTTACACGTGCAGGTGTTCCCTTCACAGGTGTTTCATATACAGGCGTTTCGTCCACGGGCGTACCGTCCACAGGTGTTTCATCATACCAATTGTCCCAAAAGTCATCAAAGAAATCCATAGGTGGCTCCTCATAATCCATACCGTATACATCCTTGTAACACTGTGCCTTTGTAGGACACCTGTCCACACTCGCGGGTTAGCATCGACTCCTTAGGCTTTTTGCGGGTTAAAACTTACGACACGGGATCCTGCCCGAAAATAATGTGCCAAATGTATTCAAAGACACGACCACTCGTCTCGTCATCCAATTCGGTTGTCATAAGCCAATGATGGTACGACTCATAGTCGCTCCGCGGGCGTTGGAGGATCTGCTCCCTGGTTACAGCGAACTGAGCACAGCAAGGCGTAGCGACAATCTCAGGCACATCCGTGTTGTTAAAGATTCGGATCCAAGCACCTGCAAAGGCAAGCTCCGTAGTGCGACCAGCCATTTGCCGGAATGGCTGGACCTCATCGGGACATCCGGGATCCCAGTCGCAGCGTAGATTGAGATATCCAACTTGTCGGAGGTAGTCGAGTTGCAGTCTTTGGACGGTCAATACATTGTCCTGCTCCCAGAATTCGACGTGGCCGCTATATTGATGAGCGTGGAGGAAGACCATGTACTCGGGCAATTTGTCGTAGTTGTCTAGAATGTATTGCAAATAGGCACTGCTTTCTTTGCCTTTGTTTTGTTCGACTTGTAAAGGTGCCTCGGGGTCATCAACGAGGTAGATTGCGTGTTGCCATCTAGAATTCGAGTCCTGGGTTAGAATTGGCACAACTTGTGATTGACTAGTGATCCGTCTACGGGGACATACTCCGGCAGGTGATCCTCAAGCCAATCAGTGTCTTCGTACGACATCTTCCCCACAACAATTACGCGATCCGATTTGGGCGTGAGCTTTGGACGAGCAGGAGCAGTAGACGAAGGTGCCTTCGCATCACCATGCTCTACTGGAGCGAGTAGTTGCACATTGTCGAGTAAGCCTTCTATCGAATCATGTAACTCGGGCGCTTCTCTAGAATCGAAGAATAGTTCTCCCGCCCATTCAGCGCCGGGGACATCGACGGGGATGCGCTTCGGTTCAGGATTGGCTATCACTTGAGGAGTTGGTCGGGCCGTTGGGGACCATTTCCTTCGGGTTTGGGTATGTGAAGTGGACTTCGTAGGCGTCGCAGTATGGGCCGAGACCAGCTCGATATATGCATCGCCTAGGATAATTTCATCATTTTGCCATTGCAAGATAGAATCGAGGTGAAATTTGACCAAAAACAGGGTTGTAATTAGCGCAATGGCTATAGCCGCTCGCAATGGAGTCCGCATTGTCCAGCATGCGGAGAGTTGAAGATCAGAAATCAAATCGAAATCGAAATCGAAATCGCAGATCCCAAGTCGAAGCGAAAAAGCCCGCACTTTTTAAACTGTACGTGATAGTCTCCACTCAGACGCCTTGGCCTCAGCCCGAGCTTGGCCGCGTGGCTGCACGGAACATCCATGGATATGTTGTATACGTATGCCTGAGCTGTATACTAGTTATCTGCTTCTTTCCCCTAGAAAGTGCGTTCATGCTTGGTATCTTCGTCCAAGGATTATCTATTTCAAGTGCAAGAATCATGACTGTGTCAATCCGAGTGCAACATCTTCCATGTGGGTCTGGCGTATGTCGAATATCGGATCTCGTTTTCATGAAACTGTCGATCTCTTTGGTCTTGGAATTATTTCAGATGCAATCTATGTAATATGTGCAATATATACAATATCATATCCATGACTTTCTTGTACAATATAACGTACGAAACTCTTTGTATATTGGCTTGAAGCGGATTGACTGCATGCTGCATGCAATCAGTTTAGAGTGTGACCTTGGAAACGTTTCAGACGCGTCAGACGTTGAACGTCACATACGTCGATTTCATTGGTCCCGTATATACAGTTAACTCTGCCACTGTTCCTCGTCACTTATTAAGCATGGCAGGCCTGGGCGCCAACACCCATACCTGGTGTTGGCGGGCTTGGCACGATTATTGGACCTTCGCTGGTTTCTTGAACTGACAACCTGTCGTTTCAAGGATGTCTCTTTAACTGCCCTGATCCACCCGTGGTTGACTCTGGCTTATCTCAGCTAATTCAGGATTCAGAATAATGACTACACAAATTTCACTCAGAAGATCCGAAAAGGGGTCTATTGGTGGAAAGATGTCTCATTTTCCAGTCTGAACCTCGTCATCACATCTAGATATCACTGCTTTTCCTGGTGCAACTGTTTCGTGTGCGGATAGACCCTGGTATCTCGGAGACTTTCTTTTTCTTTATTTTGCTTTCATTTTTCTTCATTTTTTCTTTGCAAAAGTGCCCAGATGATATTCCAGAGTAGTCTTATACGAGCTGCAATTCAATATCTATGGCTAGTCTCTGCCTGCATACGTATCCTAGAACATTTTCATACTCAACTCGAAGCTACAGGGGGGCCTTGTCCCTTCCAGTATAGATATGAAATTTGCTTCCCTTCACCTCAGGGGCTGATTAGCCTTTGAGGTTTACATTGGAACTTGATAGGATTAAACAATCCTTCCACGTGGACCTGCATCCATTAATACGTTGTAGATAGACCCAGTGTCCACGGGTCACGGGTTCCCTCGTACACACATTTCCCATTTCTCCTGAAACACGTGGACGTCCTTGCGACCCGACCCGATCCTCTGTAGATCAATCCACTACCATAATTTCTTCCCTTGGTATTGGATTGATCACAAGCTGTCGACAGGTTGAGCTTAAGTACAGAGCAAATCGAAAGTGCAACTGGGCAGTGTCATCCATGGATGTGTCCACCGGTATATATAAAACTAGTCAGCTGCCTTTATGAGACATCTCCCAACAATACGGAGTACCTATTACGGGAATGACAAGCGGATCAGAATCCAGAGCAAAAAGTTCCGTCTTTTCTAGCGTCACTCCGAATCCGGCCATACTCCATCCGGAGGCCGGAGGAGTCAATTCCGAGTGTGATTGTGGTAAGTACTCCGTACCTGTGGGTAGTAAACAGGAGCCGGGGAGCTCCAGAGCTCCACCCGGGATTTGACACTGCCACTAGATGTTCTAACCTGCGTCTAGCGGGTTCTAGCTGGGCCACATGAGCCTCTGAGGAGCTTCGATGCATGCGCTAGAAACGGGGGATACGCGGATCGTGGAGACTAGAGGAAAGTTCCAATTTCGTGTGGGACTGACACAATATATATTCTCTGTCCTGGTATGAAGTACTAGCGTTCATGTACCGTCAATCAACGGCCACAACAGCCGGGGGAACAAGGTGGCCTATCCGACTGGGCCGAACCACTTAGGAAAAGTTGTTTAAAATAACTCAGTGGCTTATAAGGTGGCGAGTCAGGAATTCGGAGTGGGATTGATGGGGCGAAATGAGATTAGGGGGGCAACTAACTTCAGGAGTAAATAAATAGTAATAGTTAATAGTAATAAGAAGTAATTATAGAATATCCCCCTGAAGCAGATGGAATATGTATGATAATAAGGAGTATGGTAATTAAAATGGAGTCTATGGTAAATACTCTGCATGTTCAACCCGGGTGTGTCAGATATAGAGAATCACATACAGTGACAGTGCGGTGCAGGAACCCCTTGCAAAGCACGAGGCAGGGCGCGAACCCCGACGTCTATACGTCAGGCAACCCGTGGGACTCGCATTCAAATAATAATTTCAGGAGTATTACTCCGTACGCAGTGAAATATTTCTCCAAAACTATTCAGGGATGAGAAGCTCTAAGCAGTGTCCACAACGGCGGGGTCCTCTAAATTGCCTAGTGACGAGCCTAACGAGGCATAGCGTCTTGGTGAAAGGCTAAGGAGCACTAGAAAGTGGGATACGAGCCGAGTCACTGGAGCTGACCTTCTCTCTGATTTGGTGTTGGGCTGATTCGCTCATCCAATCCTACGGGAATAGTTATATAGAGTAGCGGGAAGATGAAGACAATATAGCAAGCAACCTTGGAAATGTTCAAGGGGATATAATAAAATTCCAAGAATTAAAGAACCAAGCAATCTCTGTACTTTGTCATGCAGTCAAAAGATTAAATAGTATAATTTCATTGGTATATGGCGAGTCCACCTAGAAGATCCAGGGGGGAATAAAAGAAGATTCTAATATAAAACCACGTTAGAAGTACTATAAGTATGGCTTCTCCTTTGGATTCTTTTTCTCTTACTGGTTTAATATAAAATATCTCGCTATTTCCTGCATATCTAACTGATCACCTGCTTTTCTGCCTACGGACTCGATCTCATCTCATCTCATCTCTTCTCTCTTCCTAATCACCTCCTTACTCCCTCCGTTCTTGGCGGATTTATGGACCGCTTCGCCTGAATTTCTTTTTCTAGTTTCCCCCTCTTGTGTCTTTTTATTTATTGAGATCCTGTCGACCCTCGGGTTTCGTCTCCCATCTTGGCCTCTATATTGGGAAGTCCACAATTCCAAGGGAAATCCCCGGACAAAACCACTCAACACCCACGCACACCCAAAAGCTTCGGATAAAAGGGAAAAAGAAAAGAAAAGAAG